AGTGCAACTCAAAACTTTTCAGGTGTACTAATTTCCAGAGGCAAAGCTGCGGCTCGGTCAGAGTAATACTCCCGCATCAGCCGAAGCATAGCTCTGCACACACACTCACACGCACACATACTCCGTTTCGGATAATCAACGGAGAGTCGGAATCGCCAGTTGGCTGACGCTGTTGCAATTATGCCAAATAGGTTAACAGCCGTTTCGTGCCTTTTGCACGAATTTTTTGTGTGTGTTGTTTACATAAGCCTTTTTCTCATTTTTCTCATTTCGCTGCTCTCCACTTGGTTTTTTTTATTTTTGTGGAGGGTTTGCCCCACTGTGCTAACTGTGCTTGCCTTCTCTGGGTTTGCTCGTTGCGGCGACAGTTTACCCCACATTCCGCTAGGAGGCGCTCCACGAGCTGGGGTGCGAGGCGGGTGGATGGTTTAGCAGCAGCGACTGGGCAATGTAAATGAAACGAAACGAAACGGCAAACAACGGGCAATTTAATGTCTATTTGCATTTGACAACAACAACCAGCAGAAGCAGCGGCAGCTACAAAATATAGAATCATGAGTCGGCAGCTTGACAAATAAACGAGTAAATTAACGAGTGAGATATGCTGAGCTAAGGCAGGGGCAACACCGTAGGTTCGGGGGCTTCCAGCAGCTCATCTAAGCAGTGAGTGACTTTGATTAGCTGAGATCGTTTCTACTTACACACATACATACCATATATGTTTGTATATATGCAAGTCTCTGTATTCACTTTACGTAGAGTAGCAAAGATCACACTAGTCAACAAGTAAGTCAAACAAAATGAATTGAGTATTGATATTTGAACTTAGGCTTACATATACTTAGTATGTTTTACATATGAGATATGTTCACATTTAATATATTCACCTTTCTGCAAGGAGTCGTGCATACAGCTGCAATTAATTGAGTGCGGGGCAATATTTATGTACTAGTATATATAGATAGATATATATATATATATATCTCTATTTATATATCTATGTATATGTTGTTTGTTTATTTTTTATATACTTTATATATATTGTATTTGGTTGATTAGAATTAAAAGTTGTTAATATGTGTACACACTTTGGGATAATTTTTTATATTATTATATTTGTATTGTTTAACTTTCGATTTCTTATATATTACGTACGGCACTCCAATGTTGCTTGTTGTTGTTTTTGTTGTTGTTGCTATTAGTAATTGTTGTTGTTACTTTCTCGAATTTTTTGTTACTTTACTTTTATTATTCCATGCAGTTATGATTAATTTGTTGTTGTTGTTGTTGTTGCTGCTGTTGATGTTTGAGTTGACTCGTTTACTTAAATTACAAATTATGTAAACATAAGTTATACGCACACACACACGCACACTTGTCACACACACACACACACACACACACAATGGCAAAATGTCAATAAAGAATTTGAATTTATCGCGATTTCCTAGACAAAATCACTTGAAACC